TTGTGGAGGAATGTTCTGAGTAAAGAAGGATGTGGGCGGAGCCAAAAAGACGGTTTCACTGAACTGAATGCAGTCTATGAGAAATTACCCCCTACTTGTGCTTTCCAAGGAGCTGTAAACAGAAAATAAATCATTTTTCAAGACCACTGAAGAGAAGTTAATCACTCATAAAGCTCATACAACAAGCACATCTTCATCTCTATGGAAACAAAGCGTTTTAAGCCCTTATGAAAATTTGCATGACTGCTAGAAACTCAGCGGGTGAAATTCGGATAAACAGGACAAAGGAAAAGGGAGGGATTTAAAGCATGGCTAAGAGATAAAATGTTGCCAGCATACCTGCCACATCATACCACTTTGCTCCATTTGTGATGCCATCCTCAAAGATCTCATTTATGTTTTCATCACACTTCGGCTGCCCGGTTTTCATAACAGGGTTATTCTCAGCGTAAACCCGTGCCAAGTATCTGAAGAGAGCATCATCAGGAGATCTGCTATAGGTGCCCTCAGTATCATGGGACACAGAGTCATCAAAAGGATAACTGGCCACCACGGTCCCACCATGCAGATTCCCAGAGAGCACAAATCTGGAACAGAGAATCAGAGAAAATCAGAAATGATATAATTAACCCATCTACTTCACATAAAATGTATTAAGATTTTATAGACACTTACAGATAATAAGATGAAAAGAACACGAAAAATAAATATGGTAGAGATTAATTATAAAAAATATTGCACTTTACAAAAATAAAATAAAAATCATTATTATTTAGAAAAATGAAATATTGTAGAGCTGGATTAGAAAAAAATTTATATTCATGATATTTTTCATAATTTCCATGTCTCAGTTGTTTGTGATATTTATTTACTGGATTATTATTTATTTATTTTTTGCATTTTGTGCAATCTCTCTGAAATCTTACTCCAGTAATCACAAACAACTGGAAAAGTCACAGAAGTCATTACAGTCTTCAAGAATATACATTTTTCTAATTCTAATTTCATAAGAATAATAATAATACTTGGTTTGGATTATTATTACGGTAACACTTTACAACATAGCGTCATTTATTAACATTAGTTAACATGAACTAACAATGAAAAATTCTTTTAAACCATTTATTACTTTTAATTACAACATTTTTTAATACATTATTGAAAACAAAAGTTGCATTTGTAAATATTATGTAATGGACCTAGGCAAACGTGAACGAACAATGAACAGTTGTATTTTTATTACTAATTAACAAAGTTTTTAGTTAATGTATCAGTTATTGCGCAGTTTTACCATCATTATTATTATTCGGAAAAAAATGAATTATTGTAGAGATAAATTATAAATATGTATATTGTATAAAGATTTTTAAAGAATAATTTCCATGACTTTTACAGGCAAAACTCTCCGATTCTTGCAACCTCTGTTAGTAGCTGGGTTTTGGAACATGGTGGCAGGTTCCTAGCTGGTTTAATGGTCAATAGCTGGATCTTCTGGAAGGTCTGTCACAAAGTTAGGTTCGGTTTGTGAACGCTCTTACTTGTTCTGCAGGATCCACCTCATGACAGCAGTGCCTTCAGGGATGTCTTCTGCATTCACGTGTATCTCTTCAAACTGGTCTGGGAAACTTCTATTGAGGTCGAGGTTTTTAGCATTATTCCGACCCTCATATTTGCCCGTACAATCCCCTTCCTTAGACTTCTCAAAACCATCAGGGTTCATGCTCGGCATGATATAAATATCTGTGCTGTCGACCAGCTCTGTGACCCGCGGCTCCTCTCCGTACTTCTCCAGCAGATACTCCAGCAGGTAGATCAGAACCTGCCGGGACACGGTCTCGTCTCCGTGCATGTTGCCCACGTACTTGAATTTGGGTTTTCCTGGTACATCAGCAGTTGGGTCCCTGGTGACTCTCATCACCCAAAGCTCCCTGTTTTCAACGGATCTGCCGATGCTGGTCAGATTTGCGATGTTTGCGTATTTCTGGGCGAGACTTTTGAGAAGGTCAGTAAGTTGGTCGTAATTGTAGTATTCGCTATAAGTCTCTGGCCCCTGATCTCTCTGCTCGTCAGAGTTGATCGAGCTGATATACACAAAAAGCAGAGATGAAACCAAGAGCGAGAGTTTATGCCATGAACACAGACTGTTTCCCCTCTGTCCCGACATGTTTCCGAAGGCACCTTGACGTACACATGAAATCTTAAAATGTGTCCGCCTGGCGTCGGATGCTTTCTTTAGCCTGACGTCGGGATATTTTTAGTAGGAACTTCCTGCTAACGCTTTAACAAAGGGTGGCGTTTCCATGACAGCCGGAATTGTTTCAAAATAAAAGTCACACTACTACAAATTTCTGTCTGTCTGCTGTAAAATAAGAGCACACAGGTGTCTGTATTTTAACCACTACAAATGAGTTGCTGTGTTTTGGAAAATGGTATTAGGTTTTATTGATGGTCTATCAAGTGCAAATAATGATCAGTTTGATATCTTTGTGTAAAATACATAACTGTGGAGTTACATGACAGAAGCAGATGGAAATAGACTGGCATTTGGGTGACCAGTGTTGGGAAACAGATTTCTTCTCGTACATCTACTAATGACAAAGTTTTGTTTTCAAATCTTTGTTTTTAGTACTAGGAGAGTCCATAGATTCGAACAAGTTACTAAAATAATTAAAATTCAAATAAATCTCCAGGCATCCCACTCTTTTTAACCAATGAATTTAACATTTTTAACCAATACGTTTACAACACTTCCAGTCATTTCTGGTTTATTGAATAAAGACTTTAGATAATGTTTTTTTTTTTTCTTTTAATAACCCATTAAAATATTTTACAGCCTGGCTAACTAGAAAAATGTATATTCATTATAAAAATATGCATTGTGTTTTAAGATTTTATTAAATTGCATGACTTTTCCAGGTTTAGAAATCACGTTTAAGATCCATATATCCAGGTTTTCCAGGACTTTAGGAACAGTGGTTCTTCACAAACATTGTTAAAATAATAAATATCTTATTTTAAATAATTTTAAGGCCCTCTGGTTGTGAACCACTGCTACAGAGGGCCTTAGTCGGCCCTATCCCACCACAGGGCCCTGGACAAGATTCCTGGTTAACCTGCACTGAGGCAGGACTTTACAATTTTCTTAGTGCACTAAACACTTCGTTGAATGTTAGTTATAGCAGAATTTATATGATATATATATATATATACATATATATATATATATATATTATAAGTTTTATGTATATATATATATATATATATATATATATGTATTGCATTTTATAATTGCACTAACACAGAAATATTACAGCTCAAACCACTAATAGTAGACATATCAGTAATAGTAATAAAAGTTAATTTCTGTAATTACATTAAGAAAAACTCAAAATATATCCAGCAACTGATACAAATGTTGAGAAATAAAGCAAATGAACATAAAAACGGAAAAATGTTGTACCAGGACAAAAAATAAAAATAAAAAAATACTCCAAGAAATCTTTACGCTCCGACCATTCAAAAATCATAATTGAAGTTTGTTTCATGAGTGGTATATTTTATTTCAATTTAAGGGCTAATAAAACAGAATAATATTAAAAATCAAACAAAGGGAGAGAAAACTGGAGGCATCAAGCTGTTGAGCGCCACTCATAAGGTTGGGCTTGGTGGCTCCCTTTGTGAGGGGGTCTGGGGAAGGGGAGGGGGAGTGGGGTGGAGTCTCATATTGGCTTTGTTGTCTCATTGGTTTTCGTCCTCCACATCTTGCAGTGCCTCTTTATTCTGTTCCTCACCTGTGCACAGAGAAACAAAGCCATTGTTATTGCATCGCAACAGTTATGTCCCTTAATGCAATCCACACGTGAGGTGTTGTACATTGTCGCACATCATCAAGTTTGCAACTCTTGCCAGACCTATGCATTACGAGTTTGCCAAATAAAAAGCAAAACATTTTTATTAAATCAATAACGAAGGACTGAATACATGCTGTGAGAAAAATAAAATTAATTTATGTTATATAAATAGAATTTATGTAATTTTCAAGCTCAAATAACTAAATAAAAATCTGTCTTAAGTCTAATTTGAAAGCAGTGTTATCTCACGTGGTCATTTAATGTTCACACATAATTCAATTCCCAAACCAAAGTATAATACCCTTTACAGTACATTTCTTAGGAAAACATACCAGAATTTTCCAAATTCCAATATATTGGTACAACACAGCCATTCCAATTGGACATTGAGGATCTGGCAGTGACCATGCAGAAACGGTTTGTTTCAGACATGCTGCACATTTAGCACTCTGGTGGCTACAAAGATCGTAACACAAAGCTTACAAACAGGTGAGTGATGATGCAATTTGTGGACAAAAGGGCAAGAGCTGGAAAAAGTGGCCGCACTTACAAATAAAGTTTGTGGGCAATTAACATTTTCCTTTAGGAATCTAAATAGTGGGGATGAAAAAAGGCAAGATGGGTTAAGTTGGACGGCATGAGTTTGGACACATTACAAGATGACATGAAATGCAGTAGAGAAAGATTATACTGCTGGTTTTGCACAGAAATGCAGTGATGTGCACTAGGTCAGATGTACTTTTGATATCAATAGAAAACAATTTAAATGGTTTAAAAGCTATGCCAATATAAATACAGCCTTCTGTCTTACTTCTGGGGTAGGAATGAAATGTTTGAATTGATATACTGAATACACTACATTAGATCTATAAAATATCTATGCTAGAACAGAGTGCCAAAATGAAACGAAACCACTACATTATATTGAGAAAATTATTTAATTTCTGGTGGATGAATTTAAATAGTAGGCATGTTTGCTTGCACATTTCCACTTTCAATGCAGCCAGAGCCCTCTATTTTAACTCTTTTAAAGGCAGATATTAAGAGATGGTTGGAAACTATGCCTCGCAAGTCCTAAATCGGGACACTCTGAAACAATCACTCTAAAAATAGCTTTGGTTTGTGGAGGAGCTTTTGAGGATGTCACCTTCATGTACCAATGAGTTTCAAAGACATGTTTGTCAGGCTTAGCATCTGAAACTGCCATGATCCGTCTTACCGTCTCCCTGCATATCTGAAGTCCATAGTGTCAGGTTATCACGTAACAATTGCATGATGAGTGTCGAGTCCTTGTAGCTTTCTTCACTCAATGTGTCCAGTTCAGCAATAGCATCGTCAAATGCCGCCTTTGCCAACCTAAGATCAACAGCCGGGTACATAAACTATTAAGTTTCAACATACAAATGAACAGGAAAATACTGCAATAAATACCATCTTGGTCTGATAAGTAACAAAACACATTATTAAAAAGCTCGTTATTATAAACAAATACCATATTCATACAAATGTAATATGTGACCCTGGACCACAAAACCAGTCATATTTTTTGAAAATTGAGATTTATAAATCTAAAAGCTGAATAAATAAGCTTCTTTTTTTTTTTTACTATTTGAAAATCTGGAATCTGAGGGTGCAAAAAAATCAAAATACTGAGAAAATCGCCTTTAAAGTTGTCCAAATGAAGTTCTTAGCAATGCTACGTTTTTTTCTAAGTAATGCGAAGTTTTTATATATTTACGGTAGGAAATTTACAAAATATCTTCATGGAACATGATCTTTACTTAATATCCTAATGATTTTTGGCATAAAAAAAAAATCTATAATTTTGACCCATACAATATTTTTTTGGCTATTGCTACAAATATACCCCAGCGACTTAAGACTGGTTTTGTGGTCCAGGGTCACATAAGAAAATGATGGATAGACATTTACAAAACTGTAATTGTCTGTTGTACTTCATGTTAAGTGATTTGAAATATTTGATATATGCTTTGAAAACCTCCAAAACCCAGAAAACAAACCTGCATGCACGGTCGGGAGAGTTGAGGATTTCATAGTAGAATACGGAGAAGTTAAGAGCCAGACCCAAGCGAATAGGGTGTGTAGGCTGAAGGTCTGTCATTGCAATATCACTAGCAGCTTTGTAAGCAACCAAACTGTTTTCTGCAGCCTCCTTCCTGTCGTTTCCTGTGGCAAACTCCGCGAGATACCTGTGGTAATCGCCCTTCCTGATGCATCAAAGGGAGAAAAGGTCTGTTTAAAACATGTATAAATAAAGCCGTGACCTCATTATGTCACATACGATTCATCCTTAGATTCACTTAGAAAAAAAACTCATGGCTTTCATACATTTTGTAGTAGAAGACCTTGGACTCTCCTGAATTTGCAGCTGGGATTAGGTGCTTGTCCAATACATCAAGGATGTCATTGCAGATTGATTTCAATTCGGTCTCAACCTGGACATGAAAATTCAAAGGTTAAAAGTGTAAAACTAATCATTCTAGTCATATGAATGAACGTTAGTTAGCGCATGTCTTACCGTTTGTCTATATTCCCGAATCATTTTCAATTTGTCCTCTCCACCCTTATTCTCCTCTTTCTGCTCGATACTACTGATTATCCTCCAGGATGCTCTTCTCGCCCCAATGACGTTCTTGTAGGCCACAGAGAGCAGGTTTCTCTCTTCAACTGTTAGCTCAACATCCATCCCAGCCACCTTCTTCATGGAGTCGACCATTTCTGCAAAAATCGAAAATGAACGTGATGGATATTTTGCTGATTGGATTTAAATTACAACAGAATACAAGTCGCAACCACGGCTGAAATACAGGTGCATCTCAATAAATTAGAATGTCGTGGAAAAGTTAATTTCTTTCAGTAATTCAACTCAAATTGTGAAACTCGTGTATTAAATAAATTCAATGCACACAGATTGAAGTAGTTTAAGTCTTTGGTTCTTTTAATTGTGATGATTTTGGCTCACATTTAACAAAAACCCACCAATTCACTATCTCAACAAATTAGAATACTTCATAAGACCAATAAAAACAACATTTTTAGTGAATTGTTGGCCTTCTGGAAAGTATGTTCATTTACTGTACATGTACTCAATACTTGGTAGGGGCTCCTTTGGCTTTAATTACTACCTCAATTCTGGCCAATCAAGCACACCAACACCATCGTCATTTAACCAACTTTTGGTGCTTTTGGCAGTGTGGGCAGGTGCCAAATCCTGCTGGAAAATGAAATCAGCATCTTCAAAAAGCTGGTCAGCAGAAGGAAGCATGAAGTGCTCCAAAATTTCTTGGTAAACGGGTGCAGTGACGTTGGTTTTCAAAAAACACACTTTTCCACGACATTCTAATTTATTGAGATGCACCTGTACAAGGTTTTCAGTCAGTCAGAAAATACAGTCGGGTTCCGGAAGTAAAAATCCCATTCATTTTCTCCATAGGTAACTTGACTTTGAACAATAACTTATAGGCCTAATTGATAGTGCTTTTGTTGAAGACATCAGCCACATTTTGTAATTAATTGAGCAGAATTTCTGGTAGAAAAACTACATTACCCATGATTCTGCAGAGAAATATCCAATCAGGACAAGCAAAAATCAAAAGAACTCTTTAGTGTCCGCCCACTCACATAAAGCACTGCTAATATAGCAATAGTTTCCTTCGCTCTCAAACTACTTAAATATTTGCATGCATATTATGCAATAAAATTAGAGCATACTAATATATATATATATATATAAAATACACATACACACAAATAACTCAGCATCTTTAAATGAAGAGTTTTATATTTCTACATAGTTTTAAATTCTACTGTCACTCGCAAAGCTTCATGGCATTGTAGTTCTTTCCCTCATTAAATCTATTAAGTCTTGTACCTTTGTCCGATTTTCAAATATTTTTCTGCTTCAAACTAACGTTAATAGTGTTGTGATTCACCTCACAACTGGCTGGTTTGATTTAAGGCTTCCTATAATTAAATATCAAGGCCTCTCAAAAAGTGGTCAACCACTGTTGCACTCCATGGGGTGTTTATTATTTATTTACTCAAATAAGAGAGGATAAACATTATTAACAACTGTACATTTGCATTCACCTTGGGTAGCCAGTATTCAATCACAAAACACTGTGCATATCCTTTACATACTTGCAGCATACTTTCAAGTGTGGAGTGAAAACCCTAGATACCTAACATAGGTTAATGGGTGACTAAACTAGACAATAAATTACCAACAAGGCACAATTATAGCTGCTGGTTTAATATATCGTTAGTATCTTGAATACCACAAGCCAGTGAGCTTCTTCTCTACAGTCTGGAATGAAATCTCACTGCAAAGCTACGGTATCTCAGCTTACTGAGCATTGCTTGCTTTGCGTTACTGTACAACGGCAGCGTCTCAAAACCTAGTGAAGTACCTGCCTAGACCTTTTTGGGAATCACAACTAGCCCGTAATACGCAAAAATGCTGTCTAAGTAGGCAGCTCACAATGTTTTGAGACACAGCCACGGTCTCTCGTAACGTGCTGCGGGGGTAAACGCAGAAAAGGGAGGACCTTATGCTGAAATAACTCTTTATTGCGGTTAACTGGGTCGATTAAAACAGATGTTAACTAATATTTGAGCCGTCTTCGCCTACATGAGGCTTGAAGACCGCAGCCACCCCCCTCCGCCATGGCTAGCAACAGCTCGCCTCACCCACTAACTCTCCGCCATTTTGTCTCCTCAATAAACGTCTCCATCTTCATATGCAATAATGTAGTTACCCCAATATCACATCGACAGAATAAACGGACTGTACAAATAAAAGAAACAACGTTTTTAAAAAGTAAGCTGAGATCGGTTTGCAGTTCACAGGGTGTTGGCTGTTTAACCGCGAATTAAGCGCTAACCCGACCGTCAGATAGCCTGCACGAGCACTCGCTTGGTAAAAAAATAACGTTCCCGTTACCTCTCAGTGCCTCTTACCATCATATCTCTCCGCCTGCTCGGCGAGTTTGGCTTGGTACACCAAATCCTCCCGGTCACCCATGTTGGACAGCGCGCGGCGAGCGTGTTTTGTGAGATATTGGGAGTAAAGGAGGATTGTGAGTTCACCGGCAGGCCTACGCGAGCAACAGCTGCGACTTGAATGGTGGAGTAAAGATGGCGTTACACCTTCATCCGGGAACTTTCACACAGAGCATCTCCACACACTCCCTCTCTCCCCACAGTCTATGGTTTTTATCCCTCTTTATTTAAACAGAGAATAGATGCTATGTGCTTTCTGCACCTTGTGTGTAACCAAACACTGTGTACTTAAAAAAAGGCACATTTACAGGCAGCGATATTCTGTAAAATCACGGGAAACACTTGAATTTGAAGGGATTGTTCATCCGAAAAGAGCATTCTGTCATCATTTACTCACCATCATGTCGTTCTATGCTGAGAAATATGTTTAAAGAAGAAGGTCTAGACCCAGATGCATTAACTTTTGAATTAAAACATTGTAACAATTATTTTGAATTTAGTAAAAATTCGTAAATTCTGTCATTTACTCATCATTTATCAGCATACAAGATATTCTGAGAAATGTATTTGGCAGGAAGGTCAGAGGAAAATATTTTGAAGAATGTTGGTAACCAAATACCAACAAATACCAACATTCTTCAAAATATTTTCTTTTGTGTTCCACAGAAGTCAGTAATACAGTTTTCAAACAGTATGAGTGTAAATGATGATTGCTTCAATTGAACATTAAAAATAAAATGCTAAATTCAAAACCATTTAAGGTGTTATTTGTATTTCATTCAGGTCTAGACTTTTTTTTTTTTTTTTTTTTACAAATATATTTCTAAAAATTACACACCATATAAATTAAATGTTTTGCTGTTTCAGTGTAAATCACTAGCAATAAAGTAATTGTGTAATCATGTACATGTATCATGATATTACTATCTGATACAACTTCAAAATTTGCAACCAGATTGGCTCATCAAAATGAATAACTGGATATTATATAAAAGAAAAAAAATGACACTATAATAGGATAATGAAACAGAAACCTCTCCATCATGTTGATGCTCTTAATAGAGTAATAAATGTAAAGGCATGAAAATACTGACAAGAGGCAAAGTAAAAGGTTTGAGTAGCATTACTATAGGGGTCAACTTTATTCATGTACAGGAATAAAACTAACAAAAACGTAGGATTTTTTGTGTGACTTAAAACACTGTTCTGACAGACTTGGATGCACATAAAGGATAACACAAGATTCATTTCACAAAATTACTGTGTTGATATTTAGGTTCTGAACATAATACTTTGGGTACAATTAAAATGTACAGACATGACTTCTGATTACTCTTTCAACTCAGTCATAGATGAAAGTGGTGTGTTTTGAGGTGAAATCATTCTCACAGGACACAGGTGAGAGTTCAGACTTAAAAGACTCCAGCTTTGCTTTGTGACTGATTTTAGTGATCTAATTTCGTCAAGGTCATTTCTGACTGAAACATAGACAGTTAATAAGACAGATCATGAACATTAAAGTCCTTCATAATTACGACTTAAGTGACAATTACATAACATGGCTGGCTTGCTGTCACACCATGACAACATACAGCTAACCTACACGCATACATGACAGCTTTCTAACATTTAGATGTGACATAACAGAAGAGTTTCCAGGGGGCTGTTTCATAAAGCAAGTTTACCAAATAAGCCAGGTTTATTTCAGTTAGTCTGACTTATTGTCAGTTGATTTGGTTCAAAATAAGTCGGACTAACTGAAATAAGCCTAGCTTATTTGGTAAACTTGTTTTATGAAACAGGCCCCAGGTGATTGTCATTGTTACCAAACAAGTTAGTCAACTTTTTCTTTTTAAAAGTAACAACAAATAAAGGTAAAAACATTAACATTTGACAGTGTTTTGGTAGCCTGTCTATTAGCATTATAATTTATACATTTGTCCACAGACATTTGATTTCTATTCTCTGTCATTAGTAATGGAAGTCGGTTAAAAGAAACGTTTCTGCAAGGTTGAACAAAATGTACTCCACTCTTCCCCACATTTCACTAATTAGGCTAAAGACAATGCTGATTTGGTCATTGACAACAATCTGCAATTAAGGCAGGCAATTAGGAAAGCAACATCTTACTTGGGCATTAAAGGACAAAATGCATTATATTTCTGCATTGATATATAATATAGGCATGATGGAGGCCGATGTTTTAAAAGAAATATCATTAGCCAGATAAACCAATCATAGATAAAGGCTACTCGTATGTGCAAAATCAATTGAGCAAAACACATTTGAGGCATCAGGTTAGGCTTTGCACATTAATGTGACACTTCATAAAATCCTACTGCGTTATTGTAAAGACAGCTGGGTTGTTTTAGAAATATCTTTATCTAATATTAAAGTAGTTTTGGAGAGTCGTAGTAGAGTCGCTACAACAACCACTTACTGTATTTTCTACCTCAGCAAGGGAAGTTTTGGCGAAAACACATTGGTTAATTTGAGTGGAAAAGTCACAATGTTGGATTTTTATTTAAAAACAACAAAAAAAATCAGTTAAGTCTATCTTATGTTAACGTATCGAGTCTAGCATTAGAAATTAGGGTTACACATTCAACATATCTGCATTTAGTGTAATACTCCCAAGTACAGCAATAAAGGTGAAAGTAGCGTTTCCTGATAATATATAATGAAAATGTAGTAAAACAAAGTTACTTAGCGGTAGTGAATAATGATGGATGGCCCATCTTGTATACATTAGAAATGTTGTGCATAAATAAAACTAAATGCGGTGAGGATTCGGGCTACTCCATCTTTTATATAGTGTACCGCCCCGATAGAATCCATTTCATGACATGTTTGACCGGCGCTGAGCCAGTAATGAATGACAAGCCAATGAAAAAGACTAAAAACTATTCGAAGCATGTTTGAATCTGCATTTCTGAATATTTTCATGTAGTAGATGATTTGTAGTGTGAATGCTGCTGTGTTCTAGGACACCAAGTAGTGTATGCTACCGCATTCAAAGCAAAGGAACAGTCCCTTGTTAAGACACCAAACCGCTCATGTTTTAAGTCCAAGCAGGCTTCTTCCTCTTTTCTCAGTTCACAAGAAGCCACACACTAATGCTCCTCTCTCTGTAGTGTATGGTGTTGCGTGCTGAATTTAGTGTTTACTTGGTAAATATCTTCAATTATTGCATAAAATCTAATAAGGGAATTGTTGCAGGTACTGTGAACACTGGCATGAGACACAATGGCACAAGGTAATGACGAGGCGGGCAGGTAAAAGGCAGTAGTGAGGATGTGTGAGGAGCCGAAGTGTGTGTATGTGTGTGTAAGTGAGTGTACATCTAAGGGCTGCTAGGGAAGACAGTCTGCTCTCTCAGCTCAGTTCATCCTCTGGATTGTGCTGGTCCAGCAAGCGAACATGGGTAAAGGGAAAATGGCCATGCTTTCCCTTGCACTCACCCTCCCACTGCCCATTTACATTGATCTTGGTCACCTTCACCATGTCACCGACCTAACAACACAAGACAAGCGTGTCAGAAATGGAGGAAATACTTTGTTAAGGCAATGCACAAAATAACAAACTTAAACACAGAGAATTACAGTTCCACTGGGAGGCGCCAAAGCCAAAAAAACATGTTATATTTCACAAAATTCTACATAAAAATAAATGTTTAATGTACAAAATCAGTCATCTGTGACTGTGTTGTAACTAAAATACTGTGTACTACAAAAAAAGCTAAATTTGTTACCTCCAAAGCAAGAGCAGTCTTGTCATAGGCATTGGGAACTCTCTTCTGAATCGCCCTGGCATAAACTGGACCATTCTGTAGATTGGGTAAGGATGTTGGCTGGGCATATTGACCTGGCTCGCCAAGCAGAGGTTGAGACTGAGAACTGTGGCCGTCAGAGTTGCCGTGAGCTCCAGATCCTCCAACAGACCCCCCAGGGCCCCCTGATGTTGGCGAGGCTGGCCGGTACTTCTCCACATAGGGCACGGGGATCATGCCGACACGGCCTTCTGAATTCTGAGCGTTCCACCACTGCTCCTCCGGCTTCTCCAGAACTCTTAGAATATCGCCCTTTCGAAACGGAAGGTCCTCGTCGTCGTTGCCGGGAAAGTCGAAGAGGGCTCGGACATACTCCTCTTCCAGCCTCTGAGGAGCTCCTCCTGTTCCTGCATTGACGCTGATGAAGGACGAGTGCTTGGCTTTGTTGATGGGCTCAATGAGAGTGGTGGTATCCAGGTAGTGGATCTTGTAGAACTCCAACAGGGCAGGTAAGGCATCAAATTCCTGATCTCCGATACGGAACCGAGGAGGAGCAAGTCCTGCAGGATGACAGCATGACAACACAAATGATGGATGGACGAACAAGATTTGCTTAACCTTAGTCTATGAAGTCTTCACTAAATAGTGGAAATAATAATTAAAACAATTACAATTATTGTTGTCTAAACATCACTATTTTTGAAAATACCACACATTTTTATGCTCAAACCAGGGAAAAAGCTGCGTAATTGTTAATAAATTCAGCATTACTGCACATAGAGCGTCTACAAACAAAAAAGTGAGTGTTTTGTCATAAAAACATATATGATTCACATTACATCATAAAAAACATATATGATTCACATTACATGATAAAACGTCTAAATTATCTGAATGACTGGACCAAAAAAATACGGTTTATACTGAAAAATAACCGATTATGTGTAACAGAGAATGCTAAATTACTACGTAATACTAGAATGACGCCAAAAATCAGACTGAATGTGCAGAACTGTTCGTAGTAACGTAGACTAACCATGTTACACAAGTTTCTCGTCGAGCTGCTATGCGTTTTGCTAAAGCAGTTTTTCTTCGTCCCGTCGTTGGCAGTATTTTTTACATGCACCACTTACCTGGTCCGGACTGGCGATTGCTGCTGATGCTGTTTATAATGTAATGAGAGACTTTGGAGTTCTCCGACACAGACAGCACGTAGTCCCCGGGAATAGTGATCGAGTCCCGCACCAGGAACACTCCATGCCTCTGCCCTTGGAGCAGCGAAACCGCCTCTTGCCGGCTTAATCTCCCCCAATACCAGCTCCCTCGGTCCTCCGAATCAAAATTTCCGGCCATGACTAGCGCAAGAAAAAAGCCCAGGCTTCACAGGCCTTCCCTTCGCCTCTCCTTATCCGCAAGCAGCGTTCAACTCATG